ACCAATCAGCTCACCATTAGGCCCCTACCGCATGCTGATTCCTTAATACTGACCAATCAGGATAGCCAAGTGCGAGCCAATCAGCTCACAGCTAGTGCTAGCCAATCGGCTTGAACTTAGGGCTATATAAGCACCAGGTTTTCCCCACCCCCAGAGGAGGGCAACCCCCTTGGGTCCCCTCCCACTGTGGGAGCTTTTTTGTTCTCTCAATAAGTGCTGTTTTCTCACTTTAAAAAAAACAGTAAAGACAACAGTCATTGTATCAGGGCCCACCCTTATCCAGGATGACGTCATTTCAACCTGATTACACGTGTAAAGACTCTATTTCTATATAAAGTCATGGCCTGTAATCCCAGTATTTTGGGAGGCCAAGGTGAGAGGACTGCCTTAGCCCAGGGGTTCGAGACCAGCCTGGACAACTTGGTGAGACCTCATCTCTACAATAAATCACAAAAACTAGCCAGGCATGGTGGCGTGCGCCTGTAGTCCCAGCTACTTGGAAGGCTGAGGCAGAAGGATCGCCTGAGTTCAGTAGGTCAAGGCTGCAGTGGTTGTGAGTGCCTCTGCACTCTAGCCTGGGCAACAGAGTGAAACTCCAATTTTAAAAAAATAGTCATGTTCACAGGAACTGTAAAGGTTAGGACTTGAACATGCCTTTGGTGGTGGGGGGGGGGTGAGAAAGCAACATACTTCTGCCCACTACAGGTAGTAAGAAGTAAAGAAAATTCTAGGCTGAGCACGGTGGCTCAAGCCTGTAATCCCAGCACTTTGGGAGGCCAAGGTGAGAGGACTGCCTGAGCCCAGGGGTTCAAGACCGGTCTGGGCAACTTGGCGAGACCTCGTCTCTACAGTATGTTTAAAAAATTAGCTGGGCAAAGTGGGGCGCACCTGTAGGTCCAGCTACTTGAAAGGCTGAGGTGGAAGGATTGCCTGAGCTCAGCAGATTCAAGGCTGTGGTGGCCATGAGTGTGACACTGCACTCCAGCCTGAGTGACAGATTGAGACTCTGACTCAAGAAAAAAAAAATTCTAAATAATGGAGGAATTGCAGATACAAGGAACAGCCACTACCCCTCAGGCTGAGATAGCGCATCTAAGAAAAGCCTTCATTCTTCCTGGGTCTGAGACCCAGAACTTTTTGGAAAGGACACAAGTCACTGGAGTGCCAGTCTGGTGGAACTTGCTGGAAATCCATCCTCTGCAACTTGCTGAAAATCTTCCCTCTAGGGTGCCAGGGACAGTTGTTCATGGAAAGGTGTCTCAGTGGAGGCACTTCACTACAAAATTGCCCATGGAGTGCATCGGGGAAGGTGCTGGTCCTTGGGTGCACTGGAAAAGCTGCCTGCACGCAGAAGCTAGGAGCTGGGAAACCCACTTGTGCTGCAAATATATATATCTCTCTCTCTCTCCCAGATTCATTTTCATAGAGCAGGACAAAAGGATGAGTTTGGAGCTGAGAGGTAATGACTTGATAACTGGCACAGTGACACACTGTTGTTTCAGATATTAACAGGCAGCTCCCTTCATCTTTGATCTTTTCTTTTTTTTTTTTTTTTTGAGTTGGAGTCTCACTCTGTCGCCCAGACTGGAGTGCAGTGGCCGCTCCTGGCCACCGCAGCCTCGACCTGCTGGGTTCCGGCGATCCTTCCGCCTCAGCCTTCCGAGTAGCTGGAACTACAGGCGCGCACTACCACACCCGGTTTTTGTTTTTGTTTTTTTATTGTAGAGATGAGGTCTTGCCAAGTTGCCCAGGCGGGTCTTGAACCCGCGGACTCAGGCAATCCACTCACCTCAGCCTCCCAAAGGCGCAGGATTACAGGCTGAACCACCAAGCCCGGCTATCTTTGCTCTTTTCAATCCTCCCAACCTTCTCCTGACATCCTTACCTAAACTCTATCACTTTACCATGCAGCTCCTCCAAACCCGCACCTGCCTACCAACCCCCCTACCAAAAAATGGAGGGGGGCGGGGCAAGGATGAAACTGGTGGCCAGTGGCTCTCTACACTGGGAAGAGGGGGTAGACCATGGCCAGGACAGGCTTTCTCAGCTACAAAACAATGTTAGCAACCTGAAGTAGCTAACCAGGGTAGGAGAGTCACAGGGAAGTCTTGAAAGCACATCAGGAGAGTTAAATTAGGCAGTCAAATGTGCTGAAACCCAGCTGAACTAAGTACTTTAAAGTGATCAGCCTGAAGTTGAGGGAAGCAGCGGAGCCAATGGCATCTCGTACACTGGGATATAAATACAGTAATATAAATTCCAAACTCTCAGGGGACAGGCACCTGTCTTTCCTCCAGGGCACAGCACGTGGGAGGTGTTGCAATTTTGCTGAATGGTTGATGCAAACCAGAGTAGCAACCCAAACTCAAGGCTTCCTGTCATTTCTCAGAGGTGGTTCTTGGCAAAGGGCCATCCGTCTCTAACTGACCATCCTGCCTATCTCAACACTCTGCAGCCACAAACCAACTCAACTGTAATCCCAGTTGACATGGACCTCAGGTTAGAGGTTTCTACACAGAAAGGCGCTGTGCAGAGCAGCTGGGCCAGAAGGAACAGGGCACTCTGAGTGCAAGAAGCAGTTTTGATCATCCTCTTTTTACCTATAGCCTGAGACTTAAATTATTTATCAAGCACACTGGATGTCTTCTCAATTGATCTTGATTTTCCAAGTCTAGAGATAGGCATGACAGGGTTCCCATGTTACCTATGAGACTGCTGAGGCCAGAAACAGTTAAGATGGGAGATCCAGAGTCTAAAGGGGCCCAGAGTTTCTGAAGAATGATACACTAAAGTGCATTAACAGCCAGTCTTCAGCCACAACGCCAGCCCCACTGCACATCGTGTGGGGCCTCTCACTACTGGATCAGTACATACTGGCCACACCCTGCAGTGGTTACACCACCAGTGTAGGTGGTGGGTAAGGTAGGAGTTGGTAAAATGGCAGTCACAAAAAGGACAGAGGTGAGGTTATGAAGGCTCGTCCTTGCCAGCCTGGGCTGAGGGCTAAGACTACCACAGTCCACCATAGTCTTCAACTTGGTGAACTCCTATACCCAAAGCTGGGTCATAGGGGTGGGCCTTCCCTACCAGCTTATTTTTTTCCCTTGTTTTTTTTTTTTTTTTTTTTTGTTTTGTTTTGTTTTTTTGAGACGGGGTCTGGATCTGTTGCCAGGTTGGAGTACAGTAATGTGATCATAGCTCACTACAGCTCCAAACTCCTGGCTTCAAGCAGTGCTCCCTTCTTGGCCTCCCAAAGCACTGGGATAACAAGCGTGAGCCACTGTGCTGGACTGCCCAAGTCTTTTCTTTAGACCACTTTCTCTGCTTTTGTTGTTGTTGACTTCAGGAAACTTAGAGAATCAAAGCTCAGATGAGGCCTGCTCTGCTCTTGAAGGCTTTTCCTGCCCTGGGGCCCGGAAAACACCTGCGGGTTTAAGCTCTTAACTCACCTCTTAACTCACCATCGCTGGGAAGAATCTCCAAGCACTCACAGCTGGATGAAGCATCACCATACCTCCAAGAACATCAGGTATCATACAGCCAGCCCTGATCCATGGGGAAGGGGAACAGCTCTAGGAGCTGCTGCTGCCTGCTCCCTACTACCATCATGGTGCTTCATAATGGGTTTCCAGAGGACCCAACAGGCCTAGTGTTACAAAGAGAGATGCTCTAGTTCTGGAAAAGCTTCTATCTGGAGAAGTCCTTGGGGAAAAAAAGTTAGGGAATCTTCATTTCCCACACAAGCTCTTACGGATTCTGCTCTTTCCGTATCATGTTTCATTATTTTCATCACCCAATCCCTGAAAGAGAATCATGCAGGGCGGGGAGGTGCTTCTGCGCCCTCAGACCTGGGAGTCTAGGTGTCAGGCTCTCGAACCAGGGACTCCTGGGGAAGAACTAGTGCAGGCACGGGCTTGGATTAGGCGGTGAGGGAGCCTTCACAGTGCAAGCCAGCATATGCCCATTTCCTCCCCACCAAAATCCCGGCTCCTTGTAAAGGCTCTCATGATGCAGCCTCTTCAAGCAGCGGGTTATCACTCCTGATCCCTCACTTCTCAGGGTTATTACACTCCCCAACCAGCAGGACCTTCTTGAAAGAGTGGCTCCCGGGAGCCGGGAGCAGAAAGATGGAAGTGGGCCGGGCTCCACCGAGCAAGCCAAGGTGGGTCACTGGTCTCCTGCAGTGACGCCCTATACAGAGTCCTCTGCACTCCTCCGGGAAGAAGTCAGCGTACAACACCCAGAGGGGGGGAAGCTAAACGCCCCCAGCCTGCCGCCCACTTCGGCTCGGCCGGATCTCTCCGCGCAAGCCACGGAGCCCGAGGCCGCACCAGCCCTGGTCTTTAACCTCAGGTGTTGGGACTCAGTCTCCGCCGCGGCTCCCAGACTCCGAGCCCGTGCCGTGGGAACCCGGTTGAGGAACCCGGGATGGTGCCGGAACCGGCCTCCAACGAGGCCACTCTAGGAAATTGGGAATTTCACGTATCGGTAGCACTCAGTCGACGTTTATTGGCCTAAGAACGAAAGACCCGGAAGATGCCCTTAAAAAACGTGGCGGCGCTCTAGATTCCTGACGGTTGCCTCGATATCTCAAAAAACCTAGCACTGTGTTTGGCCACTGACTGGCCCTCCGAGGTTGACGCCATCCCGTCCAGTACGGTTCAATGAGGACTACCCTGTCTGCCCTCAACTGTGATGGCGGCGCCGCCCAGTTGGGCTTCTTGCCCCTAGGGATGATGGCCGCCAGGCGGCTTCACTTTGCCCGGCGGTTTCTCGCCACCCCGGAAGACGCGGACCGGCGATTGGGCGGTGCCCGGAGCCTCCGAGAAGAAGGTCCTCGGTGGTTGGGCAGTGCTGGGTAAGCCTGGTTTTAAAGGAGCCGGAGGTGGGAGCTGTCGAAGACCCGGGATCCGCGGGAGGCGGCGGTGAGCGACGCGCGGGGGAGGGCACCGAGCGGCCGCAGAGAGGGCGGGGGGAGGGGAGGCGTGGGGAATGAGGGAGAAGGAAACATTTGAACATCTGGTCTCGGGCCGGGGGAGATCTTGGGCGGGGATCCGAGGAGGGGCGGGGGGTGTCTGTGGGCGGGACCTCCCGGGATTGGAGTGAAGGGGTCTCTGCTTGACAGTGGATCCCCGGGGATCTACACCGAGTTCGGAGATGCGCAAGCTCCGGCCGCCTCTGTCTGAGCGGAGCTTTGCGGAGCCGAAGCTCACAGAGGGAGGAGAAGCCTCGCGCGGCGTCTGATTGGAGGAACTGCGCTGTAGGATTCTTTCCGCAGGGATCCAGTCCAGGGGATCTGGTGGGAGGGCGGATCGTCGGTGTGTGGAGTATTGCTCTGGAGTCCTCGGCCACTCGCTGGGAGTGGAGGATCACTGAGGGATCCAGCGGAAACAGAGCCTCCCAGGACCGGGATCCCAGCGGATCCCGGGGATCTCTGGGCATCATCTTCAGGGACAAAGGCCTCGGGAGGCTCCGGCCGTGGGAGAACTGAGGCCGCCGCAGTCCAGGTTCTTGCTGCAGGTGCCAGGCAGGGCGCGAGTGATCCGCCGATCGAGG